CCACTTGGGCAGTGGTCAGACAGGAAGGGAAAGGTCTGGACCATAGATGACCCCCGCCCAGCCTGCTGAGCTCTCCCCGCCCAGGCTGGGAGGACGGACAGTGGCTGGAGCGTCCACAGGAGTAGAGCCCGCATGGTGGGGGTGGGGGTGGGGTAGGGGCTGGGCTGGCAGCCCTGTGACCAGCGCCCCGCCTCCCCAGACCCTGAACATCTTCCAGAACCTCAACCAGCGGCAGCACCAGCACGTGATCCACCTGATGGACATCGCCATCATTGCCACCGACCTGGCGCTCTACTTTAAGTGGGTGTCACCGCCTGCAGGGTCCCGCATGCCACCACCACCCCCCAGGACAGAATGCAGGAGCCCAGCTTTCGCTCCCAGCCCAGCCCTGCAACCTAGCGGGTGCTCAGCCTGGAGCTGCCCACCCCGCAGCCCCCTGCTCAGGGGAGGGGAGCCCTGCTCGGCCCCTTGTATGGACCCTGTGTCCACCCTCAGCAAAGGGAGGTGGCTAGAGTCAGGACCCAGGACAGTGGGGGGTAGAGATGGGTGCAGGGCCTGAGTGGGGGTGGGGAGCAGGGCCACCTTACCTGTCGGGGACACTGATGTTATTATGGAGTTTCCTGGGACTGCCCCTGTACCCACTGACCCCCACTGCACCCCATCTCTCTGTACCTCCTCCCCACCCACCTGCGCCTGTCCCCTTGCCTGACGCTCAGGAAGAGGACCATGTTCCAGAAGATTGTCGATGAGTCCAAGAACTATGAGGACCGGAAGGCGTGGGTGGAGTACTTGTCCCTGGAAACCACGCGGAAGGAGATCGTCATGTGAGCAATGTGCCCGCCCCGGCGAGGCCCTGCCCTGCCCCACCCCACAGAGAAGTGAAAGGGGGGTGGGCGAGAAGAGGAAGGCGTCCCCTCCCACAGGGGAGTCAGCAGGACCCCCAAGGCTGACACCTGTGCACTCATGGTCTCGTCAGTGCTCCACACCTACCCGTGCACAAGTCAGGGGAGCTCACAGCTTCTCAGGAGGCTCCGGAACAAGGGTGCCTCATGTCCTACAGACCTGGGTCACCGGGCCTGAGAACAAGCCCCCCCCTCGTTACCCCAGGATTCCGTCTCCAGGGCCAGACACCTCGTGTGTGATATGATGGCCATATAAGGCTGGCGGCCATACTGCACTGATGGCCACAACAGCAGTGGACGCTATCTAAGTGCCCTCAGTGAGGAGATTGGTAAATGGATCTAGATACAACAGCAGGGTCGTGGTCAGGCCTCTCTGGAGAAACTGAGCCGCTAGCAGATTTTCTTCCAGGAATTGGCTCCTGCAACTCTGAGGACCGGCGAGTCCCAAGGCCCACAGGCCAGTGGGCAGGCTTCCGGGCTTGTATCCCAAGATGTGTAGGTTGGGGCTGGGGGATCCATGCAGAGCGAAAGAGCCGTTCCTCCCAGAGCACTCACTGTGGTCTAGAAGCAGACGCCACCCTCGGGAAGCTCCCCTTGTGCTCAATGGGTTACATTACATAGCAACATGGACAGTCACGCCAGTACATGATACATGATGATACAACATGGAAAGTCA